TTTTTTATACTGTTATATTTAATATACGTGCATACATATAATTGTTACAACTGCAAATCAAGACCTAGAACAAGACGCTTTTGGGTGTTTATGTTCGGTTTGTCTAGATGTATTATGTAGGAAAGAAGAAACATATGGATATTAACTGCAACATATCAAACTTGAACAATTTTAAAAGAGCGAACATCAGGATAGCTAGCGCTTACAGCATGAACTTCCAGCTGCTAAGCAGTTTAGATATAGACATTGATGAAAAATTTAATATTTGATGATCTTCACGCAATGCAGGTAAGCATAATTCGTCCAATTTTGACTTGGGATTAACTTCGATTATTGTAATATATTTTGCAACGTTATAATTGAAGTAGCGAGACGAATAAAAGTGGTATTAAGTGATTATTGGATAGGTTTGCGAAGGAAATTCCCAAAATTTTCATATGCCCTCTTTCCTTACTGAAGAGTTCCGGAGAAGGCATTCTTTACCTGTTATTGCCATGTGATTCATCTTGTGAAATCGTTTCGTGACTGTTTCGCAAACAATTGCTATGGTCTCATTGGATGTTGTCGAATGGTACCATGTGATCGTCTCACTTGTTATTGCGACATCCGCATTTAGTCCCAATCATATATCCAACTCATGCAGTCGCTTCCTCCAACTTCTTTTCTGTTCTCTACATCTGTGCTTTACAATACTTAATAGAGCATATTTTTTCAGTCATAAATGGAAGAATTTTTTATCCTGATGAGATGCGAGCCCTCACAGGCTGTTCAGCGAGGAAAATATGATTTTGAAGTAGGTCTTTCTTGCTCTCTCTTCTAAAGTTTGCTCATTTGATTGTTGCAGATATCTTTGGTCAGCTGTGGCTGGAGCGGCGGTAGTTGCTTCATTCATCGTGCTGCTCCTGGCGCTCTCATACATATTTTGGGAGCGATTCGTCAGCGTCATGGAGGGCCTTAGTCGCGCCGATGTGGCACTGTTCAATCGGGAGGTCGCTCCTGCTCCCTCCCCTG